GGCGCGCACCTCGATTTTTTTTTTTTGGAGGGTCTGCTGGTGTGGGCGCTGCAGCCCCACTGGAGGGGCCGTCTTCAGACATGTAGATCTCGTGGTTGGCTGATGCGATTCGGATGCGGTTTGTTGTGTGGTATAGCTGTAAACCCAAGGTAGAGGGCTGTATTTCTAAGCTCTCTTTTTCGAGAGGAGCAACGGTCGCCTTGGGCGTGGAGCAAAGAGCCCAAAAAACATGATTTTTGGTGTTGTTCGTCCGCCCTTTAACTTGAAGAGAAAACCGAGCTTGCAGTCACCTCTATTGGACCTGTGTCCAGGTGTGTGTAACGCATGAAGTGCCATGCTGCTGTCTGGACGCAGAGCTGCCTGTACAAACGAATTGACTTGATGTATAGTTTATTCAGTATTAACAGCGGGATTCTCAAGAACAAAAAAAAAGAGCCAAATCCGCCTGCCCCCCTCAAATTTTGCCGAATGGACCGGACGTTTTTTCGGCCCCAAATTCCGCCGCTTTAACACCCCGAACTGTGACCCGTCAACATTTGCGGGCTCTCAAATGAAGAAAAGCTCCACCCAATGTCCGCGGGGGTGGTGTCGAAGGTACCCGCGGTCCTTGATCTAATAGTGGTGTTCTGGAACGTGATATGTGTTTCCGCGCTCGTGCGAAGAGAATATCATGGCCGCGTGGGTCTTAGACGATTTTGGGTTTGGAAGAGGCAAGGCAAGTGATTAATGAAGTAAGGTAAGTGCTGGCGTTCGTCACATGTAATAGTTTCGCCGATGAGGCTCAAAACTTGTTGACAGGATGGAAATAATTCCTTCCGTAAGCTTATGTCTGCAGGAATTCGACTTCATAATTGACGAGGGAAAGAATTGACTGGATCCTTCTCGCGATAAACCTCAGAGGCAAGAACCGCCGAAAGAAGGAGGACAAAAAAAATCTTGGGTGACCCCGGCTAGTGGGTCAAAATTCTACAGTCACCTCTATTGGACCTGTGTCCAGGTGTGTGTAACGCATGAAGAGCCATGCTGCTGTCTGGACGCAGAGCTGCCTGCACAAACAAATTGGATTGATGTATAGTTTATTCAGTATTAACAGCGGGATTCTCAAGAACCAAAAAAAGAACCAAATCCGCGTGACCCCCTCAACTTTTGCCGAATGGACCGGACGTTTTTTTGGTCCCAAATTCCGCCGCTTGGACACCCCTAACAGTAGGAGAAAAAAAAGGGAAAACGACCCAACAGGGTTTACCCTGGTCGAAAAGCGACACACCTGGGAACACAGTCATTAACAGCAGAAAATGCGTTCATTTGATTGGTCACCGCCCAATTTTATCCCGGTGTGTCGCTTTTCGACCAGGGTACACCCTGCCGTGACCACTTTTCTCAAAAACTGTACCCTGTTTTCGGAAATGTACCCTGACCTGTCGGGAAATCAGACCCTTTCATCAATCACTTCCCCCGCAGGAATCTTCCCAACTCCTTTTCCCCTCCAACCATGGGATACCAAACGGCGACTCTTCCCGCCCAATAACAACCATGACAACGGGGCAGGAATCAGTTTCCGCCCCTGCCAAACAACACCAACTATCAACTCTTCCGGTCTAAATCAACAATGGCCGCCGGGCAATACCCCAGCACAACTCTGTTCCGTTTGGAAACATGCACACACGGGTACGATACCCCGTGGACGACTGTTTGCTGCAGTGTATATGCGAGATGCACGGTTCACGCTATGAAAGCGAGACCGATCCTGCATGGTTGACATGCATATATATGCATATATTTGCCAATGTGTCGCGCTGCGCTGAGCGGGCGGAGGGGAGAGGCAGCACCAGCACACACAGACACGCCCTTGACATCAATCATGGAAGGAGGAG